GATGGAGAAAGATTAAATCACCTAAGGTTTGCAGATGATGTTGTATTAATCGCAGATAACTTACATGATACAGTTACTATGATGCATTCGCTTAAAAGTCTGTCTGAAAGAGCAGGATTAAAGATAAACTTTGAGAAAACTAAAATTATAACAAATCTCGTAATGAGTGGAAATATAACTATTGACAATAATACCATACAACAAACAGACACTTACAAATATCTGGGACACGAAATCAAAATAAGCAGAGACAATCAAACACATGAAATGCAGAGGAGAATAGGTCTAACATGGGCAGAATTTGGCAAATTAAGCCATATTCTAAAAAGTTCAATTCCCATGTGTCTCAAGCGAAAGGTTTATAACCAATGTGTTTTACCTGTACAAACTTATGGAGCAGAGACTTTAACACTCACGCAAAAATCTGCGAATAAACTTAGAGTTACACAACGAGCCATGGAACGTGCAATGCTGAACGTGAGCCTTCGAGACCACATAACAAACCAACAAATCAGACGAAGATCAGGAGTTCAAGACGTCATCGAAAGAACCACGACGCTTAAGTGGAACTGGGCAGGGCACTTAGCCAGAACACAAGATGGACGGTGGACAAGACGTATTATGGAATGGAGGCCCAGAAATTATAAAAGAAGCCGAGGACGACCACCGACTAGATGGACGATGACATTAAACGTGTAGCGGGAAACTGGCTACAAGCGGCCCAGTGTAGAGAACATGGAAAGAATTGAGGGAGGCCTATGTCCAGCAGTGGACGCGATTGGCTGATTGATGATGATGATGATTGGCTTGAGGTTTAACTGAACTACTTGAACTATACCCATTTACACACTGCTTTCAATTCTGATTTAATTTTAATATTTCAATTTCATAGTCAATTTTCTTCTCGTTTTGCAGTATTGACAGTCCCTGGTAGACCATTTTATTGTAGTCAACTACCCACTGTCTAATAGATCGTTTGGTCTATTACTTTCATTCACACTTTATGTACACTTCATTTAGCCTCAAACCTACAACCTTATTATTACAGACGGGTGTGAGTGTGAGATCTGGATTATGCAATTTAGTTTAAATCAAAATATTCCAAATGTCATACTTCATCAGCTGATTTTTTCAGTAGGAGTTCTAGTTGGACTTTTGGCCAATGACAACTTATACAGAATTTTAATGTTTGCTGATCACAGATCCATAACTTTGACTGCCTCTCAAAGTTGTCATATGTCACATGTCACCGTATCATTTCCGCTTAGATCATTATCCCTCCAGATACTGACAGAATGTAGCGTAGAATCTTTAAGTAATTTTAAACTGTGTGTCCTCGTTTTAGTGTAGTGTTTTGTACAATTTTATGTTGTTTTTAATGTTTCCACATTCTACGCTTGCCGGATAGTTTACATTTTGACGAAGTAAGTCTAAAACGTCAATCTCAAAAAACTTTTTTTCATCCATTAACTTCGAGTTTTTTATCGAAGTTAACTAATTTACTTCATCTAAAAAACGTTTTCTTGGCTTATTTCAGATGCCCCTGAAGATGCTATTTTAAGCGAAAGTACTTGGGCTAGATTTAATTAACTTGTGCTCGATAATAGCCTTATTTTTAAAGTTTATAATTATAAGAGTTAAGAATGACGGTGGTAATACCTTTGGTTATAAAGTTCTTTGAGGGCGCATCTTTCTGAAAGACTGATATTTTACGGTGGGGGTTTGGAAGTACGTAGAATTCTAACGACATCTTGTCTGGCAACTCCTTGGTCGAAAGGAAGATGAGAAATAGCTTCTTCAGTTTGACAAATAATTTTCTCAGTTGGGATTGAAAGAGGTGTGACAGAAAAATTGAAGCCTTTTGATAGAGCTTTGGTAGCTGAATCGGATATGTGAATATCTGAGAAATTGCGAATAGCAGTAGAAGGTTGTTGATTTGAAATGGGCTTTGGATTTTGTTGAGTTGATCCAGTTTGCGTTTCTGGGTTTGGGTTTTGTTGTCAGAAATGTGTTGGGCTTTTTGGTGAGAAAGACGATCGAAGGTGTCCCATAATAATGGATGGATATTAAAAGATTACATTGCGTCGGGTGGAATGCATTTTGAAATTTCGAAGAAGCGAAAAAACCAATTGCTCTAAGAATTTTGGAAATTGGTGAAGATTTAGTGTGATGTTTAACTTGAAGAGGACTTTGGAATGACTTGATGGTCACGACACGATTTAAGAAAAGCAAGGTCACAGAGTAGACGATATTTGCGTGTTAGAAGATTAGAAAAAGATTTAGTAAGAAAAATTCTCCCTGTAGAGGCGAATAAAATGTTCGGATAAATTTCCGCGGTTAAGATGAATGAAAGTTACCTAGTTCTCGGGAAGAACCGCGTTGAAAATGTATTACTCGACGTTTCGGCTCCCATTTTAGAGCTATTATCAAGAGTGATACGGTTTCATTAGTAGTACACGAGTATCGTGTTCTGTATAAATACAAGAACTGTCTCTGGGCACTAAGGTCTTAATCTGCCTACTCCTCAGTATCGAGTGACAACCGGTCTTACTCTATGTGGCTGCTTTTATACTCGCTGTATGCGCGGGAACGGTATGCGCTGACGTGGTCTGAGCTGTGGTGGCCTGAGCGGTGTGGGCGGGAGGTCGCTGAAGCAGGGCCGTTTTTCGATTGCGATAGATTCACGAATGATTCTTGATTTTAAGTAGCGGATGGGGGCGATGGTTTTTGCTTTTTCGAAATCTATTTTGTGGCCTGTATGAATATGATGTTGGACTATGGCTGAAGTAGTATCGGAATGTTTGACGGATATAGAATGTTCATAAATACGGTTATGGATTGGTCTGTTTGTCTGTCCGATGTATGTACGTAAGCAACTGGAACAAGATATCTCGTAGACATCATGGTTTTCATTAGGGATTTGGTCTTTTACGGATCTAATGAGATTGGACAACTTGGAGTGAGTGGTGAAGATGGTTTTGATGTTTAGAGGAAGAAGAGTTCTACTGATCTTGTCAGTGACACCTTTAAAAAAGGTAGAAAGATTTTATGTTGATCGGCGACAAGGTATCTTTTTTGGATGTAATGGGGTTTAGATGTTTTTGAATGCTCTTATTGATTTGGGTGTTTGCCTTATTGAATTGATTTAGGATGACCTTGATTGTTGTCGCTAAGTCTTATGAAACGAGAAATGAGAGTGTTGACAACTAAATTGAGTTAGGCGGGGTGATGATGTGACTGGACATTAAGATATCGGGTTGTATGAGTGGGTTTCCGGTACACTGAATAGGAAAAACTGTGAAGTTTTTCTGAATAAGAACATCAAGGAATGGTAAAGACGCTTCAGACTCAACTTTCGTCGTAAATTGAATACTAGGATATATTCCACTCATGAATCCGTATACTTCTTGGTTTTCTAAGGATATTTTTGTTTTGGCGGATAGTAAAATGGTTGAGATTTTTCTGTTGGAATTAAATATCGTTTCTATTTTGTGTTTTCTTAGCACTCTTCGTTACTCATGATAAAATTGCTTTTGCAATCGCTTATTCCTCTTCTGTTGGATCCTTAATTCTTTTTTGAGCATTATGAGCATTTTCACTGGTATATATCGAAAAGACGTTTTTTCTTAGCGCTGTTTTCACATTAAGCATTTATTTCTTTTTATATTATTCATCTGTCAGTCTTTCGGATCGTGTCTTGGGGGTTTTAATGATTGAATGTAATTGTGGAGAATGGTGATGTGAATTGGCATATAGGTATCTGTCGATATGTCTAGGTTTTCGGTATACTGTGTGCCCTATGTGCCCGTCTTTCTTTTTTATTATTAATACATCTAAACATGGTAGTTGCTCGTTTTTTTTCCGGTTTCATAATAACTGGATTTTATAGTGTATATTATTGATGTGTTCTAAAAATAACTTTAGTTTTTTTCTTTGTGTGTCCAGATTATTATCCACGTACCTAAGCCAAAGTTGTTTGTGTTCGGCTGTTTCTATAAATCGCTGTTCTATTTCTTGCGTAAACAGGTTTGCTATTACCGGTAACAGTGGTGAACCCATCGGTGCTCCTTCAACTTGTTTATATCTTTGCTTTTTATAGATGAAATAAGTGGTATTTAAGCAGTGCTTTGTTAGATTTAGAGTATCCTGTCGTATTGAATATTTTTTGCTTCTCTCTTCTATAAGTAGCAAAGATATAAACAAGTTGAAGGAGCACCGATGGGTTAACGGTAATAGCTGTCACTCAATAGCTGGTAATTACTGTCACCGGTAATAGCAAACCTGTTTATGCAAGAAATAGAAGAGCGAGCAATAAAAAACAGCCGAACATAAACTTAAATTTAATTTTGGCTTAGGTACGTGGATGATACTGTTATAATCTGGACACATGAAGAAGAAAAACTAAAAGTATTTTTAGAACACATCAATATTATATACCATAAACTTCAGTTTACTATGGAACTGGAAGAAAACGAACAACTACAATTTTTAGATAATTTTTAATTACTTAATCAATTATATCATGGTCACTTAATGCATAATCAACAAGCCGTTCTTCTATATCATCGTGGCTAAAGGTATTAAAACCATCTCCGCCAATTTTATGTTCGAAATTAATTATTTTATCTGATATTGTCGATGTTTAAATGATTGCATTGCTTGTTTCACATGCATGAAGTAGATGCAACATGAATTAAACAATCAAAAATAGAAAATTGCTTCCACATGTCTTTTACTGTTAAGGCTCATTTTCTAGTTTACTCACGATGGATTTGTAAGTTGCCTTTATGTAATATTTTTTAAAACGTTGCAATTATGCCTTGATCTAATGGCTGAATACTGCTTGTTGTATTTTACGAAAGATGTACTATTCGAACGTTTGGATGTTCTAGGTGTGAATAATAGTGAAAGTTTTAATTGACCATTTGTATTTTTTGGTGCAACTCTCATTAAACTGTAAACAGGAATAGTTTATTTAAGAAGATTTTAAAATAAAGATGTGTGCTACCAAAACTTTATTATTTTTATAAATAAGAGCCTAATAACTAAACCTATCACAGATATCTATTTAATATCACATAACAGTGCAACTCCACGTAATGTCCAGTGCCTTGGATTATGATCAGTTTCGAAATCTATGGATCCTACATATTTCAGATCAGTTCGTTGTGGTTTTCTATAAATTGGGCATTCGTAGAGCTTCGGATCCTTACCAGCTGTAGTATTAATGGCAAAAATAAAAATAACTGGCATTTGTTCGTAGAGAACTTTAGGTTTACTTTCTATTAATTTGCCGCTTCGCCTGTCTAGACCTGCGCCTTCCAAAAACAATCCATGAACGTATACACCTTCAGCCGGTCCTTCTTTGATGTCTTCTTTACTATGTCTGGTAATCATATTTTGGAGTACTACTGAGTCTAACGCCCAACCTTTGTGGGCTCTAGTTACATCCTAAAATACAGTAAAAGTTATTTAAATTACACTGAATAAAAAAATATATATATCGTGATATATCTCAATAAGTAATTATGATTACTATGTAATTGCTCTCCACTTTTTGTTTGGTATAGTTCATTCCTTTGCGGTAAAATATTGTAAAATGATTGCTTTTTAAATGGAAATAAACCACAATTAAAGGTTAAAGTAAGTTTATTAACGTTTCAATTTCCACTTCGGAAATCGTTCTCGAAATACAAAAATTAGTAAAATAAAACAAATTTTGTTTTTTTGTTAGTTGGTAAAAATTCTTCTAATAATTTAATTTTGTCTGACTCATTTATATTGTTCGATCAACCCAACTTATCCGCAATACTCGAATCGAGTAATGCGGATGTATGTCAATATATAAGTATGTCGATAAATTCACATCTCAAAGGCCTGTAATTTTTTTATTAATGTTTCTGTAAGGATGCAGCTCTCCATCCCATACAGCAATGTGTGGAGAATATGTAGCAGCGTATTAATCTGATTTTAAGGTTTAACGTAATATCTCTATTAATTAGAATTTTCTTTAATTTATTTAAGGCGGCTCTGGCTTTTTTAATGCGTAGTCTTATTTCTTTCTCATTACTCATTCTAACCCCATTAAATACGCTCTGTTGTTTGTTGGTTGTCAGAAAACTCCGTTTTTCTGACAACCATAAGTTTTGTCTTAGAAGTATTAATTTTTTAGTATTGTTCTGAAACTATTTTTTTGTGGCATTTCAAAATCCCATAGAAGTATTAAGTTTTAGCCCATATTCATCACATGCTTCGGTTACCCTGTTTATAAATCGTTGCAGGTCTTCTTCATTGGAGGCAATAATTACTATGTCATCTGCGTATCTGAGATTGTTGACATTCATTCCGTTGATTTTAATGCCTGTATCTTCAACTAAGGCTTCTTTTAAAATAAATTTGGAGTAGATATTAAAAAGTAGAGGCGATAGAATACATCCTTGCCTCACTCCACGTCGTATTTTCACTGCTTCCGTCGTGTTGTTTCCAGCTCGTATGTTTGCACATTGAACAAATCCCCTTCGTTGGCTCAGTGGAGATGTTCGTTCAGTTGTAATGGAAACACCAAATAATAGTAGCAGAGTTTATTGACGAAACGTACACTATGGGTGTTGACCCGGGATTACTTTGAGTAGAGACTGTTGCAGTTGATCGCTGAAGACTACCAAGTTTGTTGAGTGAATATTGATTGAATGCTTCTCTAGGCAAGAGATATTAGTTTTATATAAGTTTTAATTGGGTCAATATATTCACGGGCCTCGCGTGATATGTGTGTCTAATTTATGTAAATTGTTTAACTTTGTCAGCACTTTTGACTGATGTCCAAATTATATTGTTGATAATTGACCAAATCCGTATGTAACCTAATTAACTACATGTGTGTATTTATTAACAAATAAATTCATTCGGTCTACTGGGTGATAAAACTATACTGTCCAATTTCGGATATGAATTCTGAAGATTTGATATTGGACACACATTGATAACAATACAAATTTTTTAAATACGGAGGTCTCGGTCATAAATTCCCACTTGTTGCAAGACACCTATAAGTTTGTCATGGTTTACTCAGTGAAAGGCCTTTTCGAAGTCGATAAAATATATAGATACTGATTGTTCTGTATCCCTACATATTTTAACCATGACCTGCAAATTAAAGAGTGCTTCTCTGATTCCAAGGTTGTTTCTGAAACCAAATTATATTTCACTTAGTTGTACTTCTATTTTGTTGTAAATTATTAAAATCATTATTTATGTCTTTTTACAATTTACTTTTAGGCCGTATTTGTTACATGATTCTACAACGTTATCAATAATCGTTTGGAGCCCCTGCTTACTATTTGCCAGTGACACGGTATCGGCTGCATATCTAATATTATTTATAAGTAGGTCATTTACAGCAATCTTGTCTTTTGATTCGTCCAAGGCCTCTCTAGAGATGATTTTAGAGTATGTTTTAAATAATCTTGGTGACAATATGCATCTCTGTCTCATCATCATCATCATTCCTCAACCTCTTGCATCTACTGTTGGATATAAGTCTCCTCCATGTTCTTTCACTGTTTTCTATCTTGCGCCTTCTGTATCCAATTTCCGACTGTTTTTCTCAAGTCGTCCATCCATCTTTTTGGTGGTCTGCCTCGGTGTCTTTTGTCTTCTTTTTTTTTTGAGAAGACAAAAAGTACAAAAAGTAAAAAAATCGTACTGTTTTTGTTGGAGATATAAGTTTGAGATCAGTCTTATATCCTTACTTACTTACTTACTCCGTGGCGTTACAACCCTTCGTGGGTTTTAGCTGACTCGACAACATGCCTCCACTGTTTTCTGTCTTGAGCAACCTCCATCCAATTCTCCACGCCCATAGTGCTTAGGTCTCCTACTATATTATCTCGCCACCGGAGTCGAGGGCGTCCGCGTGGTCTCCTTCCAGTTGGGACTTCCTCCCACACCAGTCTTACTGTTCGTTCGTCAGAATGTCTTCTGAGGTGTCCTGCCCATTGGAGTCTTCTGGACTTTATTTCTTTTATGATGTTGGCGTCTGGGTAAAGTTCTTCAAGCTCTTTATTAGTTCTTATCCTATATTGTCCTATATTGATGCTTTATCAAGCACCGGACCAAAGATCTTCCTTATGATTTTTCTTTCCCAAACACGTAGTCTCTCTTCATTTGCCTTTGTTATCGTCCACGTTTCGCTTCCATACATCACAACGGATCGTATGATTGTTTTATAGACCTGTATCTTCATACGTCGTGTTAGTTGTTTTGATTTTATAAGGTTTTGGAGGGCAAAAATACATCTGTTGCCGGCCTGAATCCTGTTGTTTATTGCTTGTGATCCGTTATTGTCTTCAGTTATTGTTGTTCCAAGATACTTGAATTCTCTAACGCGCTCAAAGTTAAAGTCATTGATGGTAATGTTCTGACCGATTCTGTCTCTGCTTTGGTTATTGCGGCTCATATACATATATTTCGTCTTGTTTTCGTTAATTTGGAGCCCCATCTTCTCTGCTTCCTTCTCAAACCTTACGAAAGTCTCCTTTATCCTTAATCGTGTGTTTCCTATTAGATCTATATCGTCTGCAAATGCCAGTAGTAAGTTTGGTCCTTCTCGATGAAATACTGTATTCGGTTTTTCGATTCTTGCACTTCTTATTATGTGCTCCAGAGCTAAGTTGAAGAGTTGTGGTGAAAGTGCATCTCCCTGTTTTAGTCCATTGTTTATTTCAAATGTCTCCGAGTATTGTTGTCCAACTCTCACCTTACATCGTAACCATTCCATACACATCCGTATCAACCGGACTAGTTTTTTTGGAAAGCCAAGTTCCTGCATCGCTGTCCACAGTCTTATATCCTTACCATCGAGTTTTGATGTTTTTAGGATATTGATTAGTTTCCTATTTGGCACTTTATCAAATGCGTTCTCGAAATCAATGAAACATGGATACACATCGCAGTTGACATACATGGCTCTCTGTATTAGAATTTGCAAACTAAAAAGTGCTTCCCTCGTTATGAATCATGCTCTGAATCCAAATTGAACGTTACTTAGGTGCTCTTTTAATTTGGTGTATATGTATGCGCTAGTGAATGATAGTAAGGAGCACTTTAAGTATATGGCTTATCAAATTAATTAATCTATGTTCTTCACATTTTCTAATTTTCTAGCGTTTGGTTTTTTAGGAAGTGTAATTAATATTGATAGTAGCCAGTCTTTTGGTAAGTAACCAGTCTCGTAGATGTTGTTGAATAGTTTAGTAGGAGCTGTGATTTGGTGTGCCTCTAATAGCTTTAAAATTTAACCATGCACCTCATCAGGTACTAGTGATTTCCCATCTTTAATCCACTTAATGGCCATAGTTTCACTGTTAAATATATATAATGGGTCCAAAGTTTATACTGTAGGGAGTAGAGAATTTTAAGGACTACAAGACCTGAGAAAATGAACTTTTTTGAAGTCTTTGATTTTTAAATCATGCGATTTAAAATGTTTTAAAAAGGAACTTCTTACACTTATGTTCAAATTTGAAACGTCAACATCTCAATTAGTTTGTATCGCATGAAAATAAAAAAATAGAAGATTTTTAGCAAAAAATTTACATTATGCTATTTGTGCATATTTTCCATATCTCTGTAAGCTTCAAAGTAATTTTGCAAAAATGGAAAATATTTATTTAATTTCAAAAATTAATTCAATTCTAAATTAAAAGCCCTTTTTTCAAATGTAGGCATTTTAAACTTGTTTTAAAATTTTAGGATATGTTGTTGAGACATAAATGAAGCTAATGTGGAATAAGATTTTAATAATAATTTTAATTGCTTCTTTTTTTTAATGAGATAATTGATTTGTTTTTTAACAACTTGGGTGTTTTCTTATCAGAATCACTTATGCGTTAGATTATTTTAAAGATGTTATTAAATACTTTTAAAATCATTGTTTTAAAATGTTAACTTGAAAATATTAACTTTCCGAGAGAAATTATCAAGAAAAGTGAACATTTTTGCTGTAAATTGAATTCTCTTTCGATTTCGGAAGTTATTTAACGGTTAAATATTTTCACCCACGAAAAGAAGTGGCACTTACTCCTGGGGTAAAAGTATATATCGGCTCTAGATATATAATAATTTTCTTTGACATGTTTCCTATGCGTAATTTATTTCATGTCAATCGAAGCGGTTTTTTAAAAATCTGTGCAAAATAGTGAAAGTATTATTATTTTGTGAATGCTTTATTGTAAATAGATTATCATGTTGGTTTGATTTAAATGGCATAATATATTATGTAGTCGATTTATCATTACATATATTACAACGAAATCTGCCATGACTTTAGCAAAGTTCCTATTAAAGAAATCGTAAAATTATAAGTCACAGCAAATCTTTTTTAAATTAAAATATCAACTTATATTATGTTTTATTTACCTGTCTCATTGCCGTGAGAAAACCTTGTGGATTAAAGAAACCTGTCATCCAAAATACATTCGGTTTACCATTTTGACACCATGTTCGGAATTGTGCATCTCGTTCCAACAATTCTGTATACCAAAATCCTAAAGTCGCAGATTCCCATGATATCTTTAATAAAGAATATTATATTAAGTAAATCATGTGTAAGGTTATATGTATTAGTTACCTTTTGCCATCTTTCCGGAATTCTAGCATCATACATAGAATCTAACGAGGTTCGAAGATTTTGGCTCATAACAATTGTTCCGTCTATTGCTAGCTTTAAATCTGTTAAAGTAGACTTTACCTAAAAAAAAAAATATATGTATAGTTTGCTCTTCCTCTTTACATAATAACGTCAATTGATATGTTTATACCAAATTTATTTTTAAGCTTAAAAAAACTATAGAATAATAAAACAGACTTCTTTTGAATCTTATATCCTATTGCTAATAGAGTAAAGCTTAATGTCTGTTTAGCACTATTTGTAGAATACCAAGTTTAAATTAGGAAGGTGCCAAAAAAATCAGTAAAATTTTAAAATAAATTATAAATATATTTTTTTGCTTTCATCTTATATTCAATCTGAAATAATGTTACTAGAGGACATTTTAATCGGGTAAATAACCTTCTTATTCCAAACTTTAGTTATATTAACTTTTGTCAAACTACTGCTTAGTAACACAACGACAAATAAATGACCATTTACTTTTTAATAGCGTTTTAGAAAATAGAATATTAGGTATTAGGCACAGGCTTTGTGGTAAATAAAAAATTGAAATATTTAAAATTTATGATTTTCCAACTGACTCGGAAATGCACATATAGATACAAAAGAAAAATGTATAAAAAAGGTGCATTTTCCAAGCGAAAGCACTCTATAGTCTTACTCAGGCTCCCATATAGAGTGTCCTATACCCTGAGAGCCCTCTTCACGGGGCTATGCTCCCCACTTGTCGTTAGACTCTTTTGCTTGGACCTTTCTACTACCAAATTGTATTTAATTGTAAGATATTACCTAAACCACTAAATTCAAACAGAAAAGCATAGGAAACTTCGATTGGGCTGGTCTAAACCACCTTTAGAGCACCTAGGGAGCCGATATCAATTAATTACTGCGAAGACCCAAACCTTTTTATGGTGACATGGCACCCAACCAACAGTAAGTCTTGCGACTCAAGCTCACTCCAACGAGCTACGCTAAACATCTTCCAGAACAAGAATGGTTCAACACGCTCAATACCAACCTACACCGGCAACTAATCTAGACCATAGATAGCCTCGAAGTAGTCTAGGAATTACCTCTTGTCCTTCGTTCAATATCCACGTAGGCACAAGCGTACCCGCGGCGATGACAAAGCCCGGTTAGCAAACGACTAATTTTAAATTGTAGGAACACTTTAATTTTTTTTTCGTTTTCTGTAAATATTTTGAAACATTGAACATTTTTCGAATTTTTTCTGAATCTTTGATGAAAATACTTTAGAAACATTTTCGAAGGAACAGAGATTTGTAAACATTTTTTATACATTTTTAACCTTTTATGAACCTTTGTAAATATTTATGTACAATTTAAATCTTCTGTATTTAACTTTTACCACTATTACAATTCTCTATAATTTCTTTGTGTACTTAATAAATTTTTCCAGAAAAAAAATCTTCAAAAGAGGGAGGATCTCATTGCGTGCCTTAGTCTGTAGACCAATGAGCATGCCGATGTGCCTTTTAATTTCTACATAATTTTCGACTGGCCAATTGACTTGGAAATACACATATCGATATGACAGAAAAATGTATAAAAAGGGTGCATTTTCCAAGCTAAGGCAGTGTAGTCTTGCTCCAGCTCCCACATATAGTCTCCAATACCCTGAAAGCCCCTTCACGGGATTATGCTCCCACTCGTCCTTAAACTCTTTTGCTTGGATTTTCTAATAAGAAACTGTTTTATTGTAAGATATTACCTAATCTACCAAAGTGGAACAGAAATGCAGAGGAAACTTCGATTGGGCTGGTCGAAGACCTCTGCGGGGCACCTAGGGAGTAGAAATGGGTTAATTCCTGTCAATACCCAAACTTTCTTACAAATATCATTTATAAACGGATGGTGTTCTGCAATAATAGTCTAAGCCACATATACATGGTTCAGAGTAAACGAGCATATTGTGTCTACCTACTTTAAGAAATTCACTAATAGAAAATAAGGCTTTATTTTCAAATTTTTTACATTTCAATAATTACAGGCTATCTAAAAAAACGTACAAAAGCAAAATAAGTAAAATCAGTTTATTGCAAAAATAACTTAAAGCGGCTTAGATTGCAAAATTGTAAAATTATAAATGGTCATATCAATGGTCAACGGCATTAACCGTCTATCCCTCCGAAATGGTAAATACGCAAAAAAAATTTTGAATTCGAGTTCATTAGTAAAAGTAAGTAACTGTTACTGATTAAATTCCTACTCGATTTAATCTTGAACAATCTCGAAATCAGGATTTAACCCAATTCCTTCCAAATCATACCTATAATTTCAAGCCCTTTGGTATTAGGTTGTTGTCTCTACATCTTCGTAAAAATTTAATTGAATTTTGACAATGTGCTAGTTTCTTGTATAGAATTTCCAATCTCCGAAAATTTTAAATAACGCTGGGCCCATAACGACATATCTATAATATATTCCTATCATACTCCTACAATATTTTGATGACCAGAATTTTGACTATCAAACAACAGTTCCAATATTTTATATAATGAACAACTGGTTTCGTTATTTGACAAATGCAATTTTTTTGTCGGCATTTATGGCACCAACATTCGAGTAATCGCAAAACATATTATGTTACCTTTTCGACACACTATCTGCGATAAAAGGAATTTAAAAATCTCTTTAATCAAGCGCCGAGCTAACAACCCAGAAAATTTACAGTTTTAAAATAATATACTTTCGTATTTTACCATTAAATATAAAGCCTCTAGTTTGGTGCAATTTTATTTATTTAAATAAAATTGTAATATTAGTGTAATAATAAATTTCTCGTCTATTAATAAGTCAAAATAAAGATTTGTTCAATTTAATATTTTGCATCTGGTGCACACAATGAAAAGACTCTTACAAAGATTTGCAACAAGCGTCTAACCCACATATTTATAATGAAAACATGGTTAGACTATTTTTACAAATTTCTGTTTTCATATTATTTTACGAATGTGGTTTAGAACTTAGTTCACAAACATCTCAATGAGTATGGATATGGCTTATATCATTTTTGCTTGATGTAGTATGCATTATGATCAACAGTTTCACATGTCTAACCTCATTTGTAAACAAATGTGGGTTAGATGGTTGTTGCAAAACACCGTTAATCTGCATAAAGTAACGAACGAAAACGATCAGTTCTTAATAGATTTCTCAAAAGAAAGATCATTATGAGCACTCACTTCCAATGCAAAAGAATATATCAAGGAACATGAGATCGCCAGATCTGAAAACCGTAGATCAAATCGATCATGTGCTCATCACTGTTATCATTATTGTTCAGTATCCTTTTTGAAATTGTCAGCAAAGAAGCCGGAATAAACAGTACAGGACTTGAATCAGGTACTAAATCTGGAAATAAACAACAATTAAAAGGAATAAAAGACTAGAAGTGAAAGCGAGAAAAAAGGGATATACATAAACTAAAACAAGATCAAATGTGTGGAAGGGACAGGACAAGAATATATGCTAGTAAGTGCTAGTAAAAAAAGTAAACACAATAGAATTTACGTAGAATATATGGAAGTAAGAGGTAGAAAAAGACATTAAAAAACGGTATAAAGCATAGGTACAAATGTAAATGACAGGAAATATTAAAAAAATGTAGAAATATAAAAAAGTGGTCAAAAGTTGGAAATGTAGAATTATAATAGGCTGATTCTTTACTTATAACAATATTTTCAAATAAAAACAGCTACAAATTTCATATTAGCATATACTGTATATTAGGATGATGATTGAGTGAGGTCAAGCCAAAACTTTTAGAAATTGGTCATCGCCCTATTTCCAGAAATGTTTGTATCGCGTTTTGTCTACAATTATAGTTCCTATGTTAATCAAAGTAAAATGGACAAAGATGAATCAATAAAGAAAGTTGCTTCAGATTAAGGTTTTGAAGAAGTAACTGTGGGAGATTGGAAGTGTAAACGGAATGAAATCGAACAGTATGTTAACCGAAGTGTGAGTGTTGAAAATGTATTGGAAGATCTTCAAGAAAGGAGACTATGAGCAAGCTTCTGAGTCATTATTCTTGTGGTTTTCACAAATGACATGATTGGGCAGCTCGATAGGTGACCTAATACACCAAGGTTATGGATGAAGGTTAAAACTTTTGTGCTAGTGAGAGATGGATTGACTCATGAAAGAAAAAATATGGTATTCAAAAATTGAATCTTTGTAGCGAAAAATTTTCTGCTGACTCAACCAAAATTGGAACATTTTATTTAAAATTACAGGAGATTATCCTTAAAGATTGACTGACTAAAATGCTTCATAAGTGAAATAAAGGAAGTGCATCCGGTTACAAGAAAAGCAAAAAGAGGGTCACAATCATGATCTGCAACAATGCTTCTAATTCATTAAAATTAAGAGCTCTTTCAATAAAAAAATTCAAAAGTTGAATCCTTCTTACAACCTATAAAAACTAATGCAATGCATGGATGGACTGTAGCACTTTTAAGAACTATTTATTTAATGACTTTGTACCAGTCATTAATGTCTACCAAAAAAGATGAAAAATCTGCCTCCGAAAGCTTTGTTCTTCCTTTCCAACGCACGATCTCACCCAGACGCGAGTGAATTGATTAGTGGTAACATAAGAACTGTGGTCCTTTCACTCAATGTGGCGTCTTTTATCTAACTCCTAGGCCAAGGTATGATAGAAGCAAAGAAGAGGAATTATTGGCGAAGGCTTCTTCAGGTACTACTGAACAGGCTAAATGAAGAACTGACTGTAATTGACGCAATGAAGAAGATCACGGTTGAAGATGTTTGCTATTGGACTGCATCTAATTGATGTAAATGTTTTATCTACAGTACTGTATTAGTTTTTAGTCATTAAAATAACAAGAGTTATTTTTATTTACGTGTTTTTCTATCTGTACAACCAATCTTGGTGTTAACCGAGTTTTTCCGTATCCGAGATAGTCACGGTCCCAATTACCTCGGATAACCGCGAGTCAACTGTAGTAAGAAAAATTTCTAAGATTCCATTTAATATCTAAAAATATAGACTAAAAGTATCATTATGTACCTCTTTAAGTACTCGTTGAATTCTATCAACTTCTTGTCTTAAAAAAATATTCATCGGCAACAAGGGTCCCATCCTTTGAAGAGCTTCTTTCACTTCAAAGCTATTATACTGATTTGGTAATTTCTCGAGCATATCTTCAGCTAGACAATACACAACGCTTTCTCTGGTCTCACCGCCACCACCACCTCCTTCTTTAGGTTGAACGTTGAGAATTGTATCAAGGATACCTAGAAATGTATTCAACTAGTTGCGTTAAACTTATAATGTCTAACAAATTGGTTTATATTTACTAAATTATGTCTATTCTCAGATGTTATATTTGCGTACACGTTTCAAATCCTAAACGAAATAAATTATCAAAAACAAATCAAACATAGCATAAAAAAAGAAAATTTAAAGCCTTTGGACATATATTGCGTAACAAAAAATACCAACTGGTTAAGCTTATTACTAAGAGTAAGTTTCTTATGCTTAAGAAACTTAGGAAATAGTCAAACGACTGAAATCACAAACCAACAAAGTGATGTCGGCTCAAACCATTTAACTACAATTGCCAACCTTGAAAATCTGATGGCAAAACTAATGGAAAGAATGGATACTATGCTTAATCTCCTTACCACTATGAATTTCACAATGCTTTTATGCAACACAGACTTAAAATAGCCGTATGGAACTCAAATTGCCTATCCAAGAAATCAAAAATTTTCTCGGCGAGAAGAAAATTGATGTTATATTCATATCAGAAGCTCATCTAACAGACAAACATAAGATTAAAATGTCAAAATATGTTGTTCACTACACAAAACATTCAAACGACAAAGCACACGGTGGCACAGCTATCATTATCATATCAAATATAAAATATCACGACTGAAATAATTTCAGTGAAAATTATCTACAATCAACTAGTATTGTCATTGAAGAGTAACTAGGCAACCTTACTGAATTCTAATATCCATCTTGCTAATCCATTAACATAAACAACTGTAATACTCACTTTTGTTCTCTTGGACACAAATTCATAGCAGGAAGGGACTATAAGAAACTTGCTACTCGAAACAAAAAGCTATACAATATCTTACTACTTCCATACAAAAGACGGGATGGAGTGCTACTCCTGAACCTGAAAGCAAACCTAAACAGATTTACCAGAAGACTTAAAAATTGGTTAAAACAGGAAAAATAAGGGAATCCAAACTTATTTAGAAAATCTGACGCCGTTTAACGGTGGCAATATTCTTTATGGAAAGCGACGAGAAAATTAGAAGAGCCACAAGACCTTCTTTAAGAAATACCAAAGCAAGAACAGATACAGAGAAATCCGAGACATTTGCAGAACACCTTTCTGCATTTATTTAGCTCATTTACCAGAGAAGTTCCTGTATAACAAGAAGAACCACTTCATACTTTTCTTGATGCTCCAACCAATCTCCTAATTTAACAATAAAGAAGTAAAATAGACAATAAAAAATGAGATAAAACACAACAAGGCGGCGGGATACGATCTCATTATAGGTAAGGTCCTTCAAGAACTAACCCATGATTGCTACAGAATAATTACTATGATCTTCAATGCTACATTAAGTCTGCACTATTTCTCCTTGCAATGGAAAGTGGCGCATATTATACTCATTCAAAAATCTGGTAGAGATCCAAAAGATGAGAACTCATTACCGATTAATTTACTCCCAGTCATTTCCAAGGTTTTTGAAAAACTTGTTGATAAAAATCAAACCAATATTAGACAAAAAGGGTCTTATACCTGACCATCAATTCGGATTTCGTAACCAACACGCTACAATAAAACAATTTCACAATTATGCACAACAATAAGAACTAGTCTCGAAAATAAGCAATACTGTACTGCAGCCTTTTTAAATGCCTCTCAAGCTTTTGACAAGGCATGTCAAAGAAATCTTCCCCCACTGTTCGATATCGTGCCAAAAGTATTTCTAAATGTTCTTTTCGTGTTTTCAGAAACCCAAATCATCTTAAATTATTATTGCCTACTTCCTTTTCTTCTTCTCTCCTCGTAGACATGACTCTGTTTTTTAATATGCCTCCAATAACTTCTCATTCCATCGTTTTCGAAGTCTTTCCACAGATTATCTTTCTATTGGGAAACCATCTCTGGCCGTCTTTACTACTCATTTTGTTGTCATTGGGCTTATGTAATCATTTCACTTTATTCTTCTATTTCTTACCTAGTCCGTAATGTTCTTCATTTTACATCTCCCTTATATATGTACTTCAAGCTCTGTCTCAGAGTGTCTTACCATGAATTTTTTTAAGAATTTTCATCTCTGCACTTTTTGCATTCTTTTTGTTCTCTACTTATGCCCTTATTGATCTAATCACTAAAAGTATGAATATTCAAATATGAATATCCAAATGGATTAAAATAATAGATTAATAAAATATTAAAAATCGTATAGGAGAAGAAGGAAAAATTATGAAAGATATAGATAGAAAATAGTTGATCTTGTACGGATATTTAAATCGAATGAATGATGGGGCCCTTAAAACAAAATATAGACTGAAAATTTCCTAAAAAAAAGGAAGCGAGGAAAACCAAAAGCTAATTAGATGGCCGGCATCCTCAAGGCAAGAAACCTTAGAGATAACCTGTGGCAGAATAGAAAGTAATGAAGTTCGGAAATCGAACAGGGTAGGAAGAAGTTCTAAACTAATCATATAGTTATTTTTTAGTTATTTTATTAATGTAATGTATAATGGGTTTAATTATTTTATTGATCTAATGTTGTCTTCATTAATTAACCTATAATTGTCCACAGCTGAACGGAGTTCTCTCGTAAGATGTTCCGCCTATTTCTATCTTGAGCTTCTTGCATCCAATTTGAGGGGATGCGCTTTATCGTTTTATAATCCGTCCGTCTAGTCGGTGGTTGTCTTCTGCTTCTATATGCCTCTTAGCTGCCATCTTACAATATGTCCAACTTAAGACTATTTAGCCATGGCTATTCTATCAATGGGCAGGACACCTCAGAACACATTCTGACGAACGAACAGTAAGACTGGTGTGGGAGGAAGTCCCAACTGGAAGGAGACCACGCGGACGCCCTCGTCTCCGGTGGCGAGATAATATAGCAGGAGATCTAAGCACTATGGGCGTGGAGAATTGGATGGAGGTTGCTCAAGACAGAAAAACAGTGGAGGCATGTTGTCGAGTCGGCTAAAACCACGAAGGGGTTGTAACGCCACGGAGTAAGTAAGTAAGTAAATTCTATCAACTGAATCCGTGACTCCTGTTTTTCTTCTTGTTTCTAGGTTTGGTACTTTGTTTCTGATAGTACTACCCAACATTAATCTTTCCATAACACGGTATGTAACTCTTATCTGCACCACATGTAAGAACCGGCATAAAATCATTGGTTAAAAATCTTTATTTTTAAACAAACTGGAATCTTAGCGTTAAAAATGTTCAACTAACCAAAGGCAGCCCATGTAAGACCTATCCTTCTTTCTTTTTAATTTCGCTGACTATCTCGGCCTAAACGAATCTCATACCCGATATTTGTTAGCTATTACTTGGTCGATGTTATGGCTTTCAATCTGACTTTTATCGCTGATTACAATGTTGGTCATAAATTTAGTCTTATAGGAGATAAGGTTTTTTCTTTCTGTCTCCGTCTTCTATACAACATGTAGCTTCTCCTTATAAATTTTAAAGTGTTTGTTTGTCCTAGTGTATTGTATTTTGTATTGTTATGTCCAAATTTTACATTTATGACATTCTACTATGTCGGATAGGCCACAACTGACGAAATGCCCCTGAAGATGATCTATTGATCAAAAGTCCTTGGGCAAGATTAAATTAATCACCGTGTTCGATAGTTGCCTTGTATACCCTCAAAGTTTATAGAAGATAATTTTAAAGCCAATTGGTTTTGATGCTTCATGGAGCATTTCCAGCATTTTAGTAGTTTTATTTACCCTATCAGGTATCAAAATGATGTTATCGGCAAATCTTAGGTAGTTAACATCTTCTCCATTTATATTAACTCACATATTAGATTCTTGTGTCATTCGCTTTAATATATATTTATGTACAGATGTAAACAATTTCAAGGAGATACTACCACCTTCTCTAATTCCACGTTCTATTCGGAACTTTTTGGTATCTTCATGAAGTTGGACAATGCAGCAGTTAGCCAATTCTTAAAGCATTTGATCCATAGTATCAAATAGCTTTTCATAGTCTACGAATATAAGAAAGATAAGCTTGTATAATGTGCACTTTTCTATTAGCGTTTTAATAACTTGTAGATGATCGTTTATTCCGTCTTAGGAGAGGAACCCAGCCTGTTCCCAAGGTTGACAAATCTCCGGGTTTGTTCACAATTATTTTTGTTATCATCTTTGTATATATGGGGAAGCAAACTAAGGGTTATTACTGCATTATGACATTAGTATGGGGTTACGCCTCTTGTCAAATAAATATTGAATGAATGAATGAAATGAGGTTGAATGCTCGAATAAATAAACTTTGAAAATAAGGCTATTATTGAGCACAAGTTAATTAAATCTAGCCCAAGTACTTTCGCTTAAAATAGCATCTTCAGGGGCATCTGAAATAAGCCAAGAAAACGTTTTTTAGATGAAGTAAATTAGTTAACTTCGATAAAAAACTCGAAGTTAATGGATGAAAAAAACTAGTTTTTGAGATTAACGTTTTAGATTTTTTTCGTCAAAATGTAAACTATCCGGCAAGCGTAAATTGTGGAAAACATTAAAAATAACATAAAATTGTACAAAACACTACACTAAAACGAGGACAAACAGTTTAAAATGACTTAAAGATTCTACGCTACATTCTCTGTCAGTATCTGGAGGAATAATGATCTAAGCGGAAATGATACGGTGACATGTGACATATGACAACTTTGATAGGCAGTCAAAGTTATGGATCTGTGATCAGCAAATATTAAAATTCTGTATAAGTTGTCATTGGCCAAAGGTCCAACTAGACTACTGAAAAAATCAGTTGATGAAGTATGACATATAGAATATTTTGATTTAAACTAGATTGCATAATCCAGATCTCACACTCACACCCGTCTGTAATAAAGGTTGTAGGTTTGAGACTAAATGAAGTGTACATAAAGTGTGAATGAAAGAAATAGACCAAACGA